CTAGTATCTCCTCTTCACAGCTACTGCTACCCACTTGACAAAACCTCCATCATCCTCCCTGAACTCTGTAAGGACCTCCTAGCTCGTCTCAGTCCTTCCACTCTTGCCCTACTTCAATCCATTCTTCAAAAAGCATTCGGAGCCAGCTTTCTAAGAGCATTCTCTGACAACGTCACTCCCAGGGGCTCCCACAGCATCTTAAGACCCAGCATCTGGTGGGGCCTCCTCCATCCTGCCTGCCTCTCTCTGCTGTTCCTTCCTCAGTTCCCCTTGAGCTGTCCACATGCTCACAGCCTAGAACACCCCCTTCCTTCAGATCCCACATGGCTGACTCCTTTATACTGTTTCGGGTTCAACTCAAATGCCCCCCGACTCATAGAGGCCTCCCTTGAATCAAATTTAAGTAACTCCCCTCACCAACTCTCTAATTCATTCTTCTCTTATCTCTGAGCCATTTATTATTATCTGTGATTATTTTATTTAATTATAGGGTATCTGTGCACCGCCCCCCCCATCAATCCACCAACTGCATCCAATCAGTACACTATCTCTCCAGCATCTAGAACAGATGTAGAGCAATCAATAGTCAACACACATTTGGTGAATGCATACATGAATGAAGGGATCCTGTGGACAATTTTCAGAGGTTGTTTGTGGTTGGAAGATGACAGTATAAGAAAATGTTCAGTGCCAGAGGGACCTTCATCTAACAAGAGTTTTTACCTCTCATGCATCATCTGTGTGTCGTTTCTTCACATGCAGAGTCTCACTGAATCTTCAACAGTCTTAGGAGGTGTACACTGTTATGGCTTCTATGCTATGGATGAGAAAACTGAGATGGACAGAAGTTTAAGAACTGTCTGGAGCCCACACAGTTTAGTGAATGGTATAGATGGTACCCAGTCCTCTCCATCATTTGGCCCCACCCATCCACCTCCTCTGAATGTGGGGGAGTCAGGGATGTTGTAATGCCAGCCTTGGAGGATGCCAGCTTCTGACCGAGGAACAAAGAGGATGGTGAGTCTTGCCTTCTAAAATGTGTTGTGGAAGGTCCTAAGGTCAGGGGAGCTCTGCAGAGGCCAATTTGCTTTTCCTGAGCTTTGCACCGCAGAGAACTGCTCAGCTGCTATTATTTCCTTTTCTTTACAGATGTGAGGCAGCCACACAGATTTTAGGACAGCAGGGGAGTTAAGTGACAGTGATTCCTCAAGTCGTGAAATGGATGAAATGACTTCTTAAGGGCTGTGTTAGTCAGCTAAGTGTTGATCTTGTGCAAAGCAAGTATGTATAAATCAGCACTGAGGTTCTAGAAACTTCACCTGCTGGCTGTAGAGAGATGACTAGGAGATTGACCTCCTGCCCTTGGGCCATCTCTGTTCTCGCAGCTGCTGGGATTTGGCTGGTGCCCATGACCTTGGGAGGGGCCCCAGGGGGCATTCAGGAAACAGCACATTGAGTAATGGACACCTCCATCAGGGACCATGATAGATCTGTTTTCAGCTGTTCCCTGTTGGGGTGTGATTGATTCCCTGGGAGCCTGTATCCCTTTTCTTACTTATTGAGTGTGGGTGATGGATTTTTGACAAGATTGATTTTGACCTGAATACTGCTGAGCTAAATGAATCAACATTGTCAATTTCTCTGCCTGGTCCTGAAGGATAGTTACGTGGATGAGGACATTTTTCTTTCAATTGAAGTATGTTAGCTACCCTGGCTGCCCAGAGGAGGCCTCACTGTGCCAGCTCCTACCAGCCACCCCACAGCGTCTCTTCTTGGAGATGCAGAGAATCAGTCTCATTTTCCCTCTTTGTTCAGCTGGTTCCCAGCACTGGACCACCATCTGTGCCTACTGGGCCCCACTCCTCTCACCTCTCCTGGGGCACCAACCAGAAATGTGCACCATCACTGGGCTTGTCTCTGTGACGAGAAGGGAGAGATGTTTGTCTCATCTCTTTCTCTTGGAGCTGTGATTCCTGACTCAGTACATTACTTATTTCCCTCAAACCTAATAAGTATCTGATCTTTAAAGCACTGCTGATATATAACTACTGGCTTCTTGGATGGGATTTCCACATTAATCTTTTTGCTCTCTGTCTAAGCAGATGTTCATATGAATGATCCTAAGACAACTCCAGTCCCCCCTCTCTCTCTGCCTTCCCCAGGTCCCCAGAGCTGCACCCACACTTGGGGTCACCAGCAGGCTTGGGGTTCCTGGGTCCTGACTGACAGGGAGGGGTGAAAGAGATGCAGGGATGTCTGGCAGGCTGAGTGGGGGAGGGAGAATTTGGGGTTGGAATCTAGCATTGCTCTCAGCTTCCTCTGCATCTGAGAAATTGGTCACTCTGAGAAGTGGGTGTGGTTCTCATATTATTCGTAATATTTATCACTTCAGTCGTTTAGTCATGTCTGACTCTTTGCAACCCCATGGACTGTAGCATGCCAGGCTTCCCCGTCCATCACCAAATCCTGGAGCTTGCTCAGACTCATGTCCATCGAGTCAGTGATGCCATCCAACCATCTCATCCTTTGTCATCCCCTTCTCCTCCTGTCTTCAATCTTTCCCAGCATCAGGGTCTTTTCCAGTGAGTCAGTTCTTCACATCAGGTGGCCAAAGTATTGGAGCTGCAGCTTCAGTATCAGTCCTTCCAAAGAATATTCAGGACTGATTTCCTTTAGGATGGACTGGTTGGATCTCCTTGTAGTCCAAAGAACTCTCAAGAGTCTTCTCCAACACCATAGGTCAAAAGCATCAATTCTTTGGTGCTCATCTTTCTTTATAGTCCAACTCTCACATCCATACATGACTACTGGGAAAATCATAGCTTTGACTAGACGGACCTTTGTTGGCAAAGTAATGTCTCTGCTTTTTAATATGCTGTCTAGGTTTGTCATAGCTTTTCTTCCAAGGAGTAAGTGTCTTTTCATTTCATGACTGCAGTCACCATCTGCAGTGATTTTGGAGCCCAAGAAAAGAATATTTATAATACTCCATAAAATAGATTATCACAATAGTTTGCACAAGAGGAACACCATTCAGTGCTGAAGAGTATGTAAAGAACTTGTCATCGGTTGCCTCTGTTTCTTAGAACAGCCCTGCAGAGCACCATGATAGGTGGATGTTCATGAACTGACTGGGGCTCACGGAACTTGAGCACCTGCTAGAGAGCACCCAGCCCTCCAGGGGACCAGGGACCACTGTGCACTGTCCACAGCATCCCAGGATCTGCCCCATGGTGGAGGTTAGAGCTGAATTGCATGTGTGGGTCAGACAGCAGGGCAGAACTCTGCTTTGGGTAAATGCTGTCACGCTGGATAACAAGGGGGCCAGGGGCACTTGTGGGCTCCCTAGTCCCTGCCCTTGCTCTGGCCCATTACCACCCGGCTGCCCTCAGAACCTGCCCTCCTGCGGGGTAAGGGTGCTTGGTAACCCCGCCCCTAGTCTATTGGCAGGCTTTGTTCCAGCTCCCAGACCACTTCTCAGCTCCCTCATCTTTTAGTCCATCCTCAACTTGCTTTCTGAGTCCCTTATCCTCAAACAATTGTTTCTAACAGTATGTCTTGCTTCCAGGGATGCTTGCTGCCTACTTGTCCTCTGAGAAACCTCAAAAGCCAGTGATGTAACCCAGCCCTCACCAAAGTCAAGAGATGTGCAGCCTCTGGTCAGGGGTCCATACCTATTTAATGGCTCAAGAGGCTGGGACCCAGGACTCCTGAGTCCAAGTTTGATGCTTTTCTCCTGACACCACCTTCCCACTTGTAGCCATTGTCTCTTTCCATATACACAGCCTGTTGACACCTCTAGGAATTATGAGTCTCCACTCACATTGTCTGGGATCAGGGGGACACTTGCTGAATTCATCTGGGGAGGTGAGGCATTCTGACTGCTGTCACTACAGGCCTCGCCTGAGGACTGTTACAAGGGCAGAATATTCTAGGAAGATAGGGCCCCTGCTCAATCACGGGCTGTAATGGAATGAATGCTGCTGAGATTTTTTCTGGGACAGCACCCTCCGAGCTATACTAGCAGGTCACAGCAAAGCAGGCCCTGAGAAGGTGATGCTCCCACCTGTGGACCAAGTGACTCTTCACCCCCTGATGGGGTGTGGCCGGGAGAGAGGGACGGCGGAGGGTGGTTTAGGGGCTGCAGGGGCAGGCAGGGCAGGGGTGGATGTCTGTCCACAGCTGAGGTCTATAAATCTGTAGGCCTTTTCAAGAGCACAAAGCCGCAGGCAGGCTAGCCTTGGGGCGCTGGGAGGGCTGGGCAGGAGCTGGGGCCAGGCGAGTGAGCAGGTTCTTCCATGGAACAGATGGGAGAGGTGGGAGGTCTCTGGCTCCTGGCAGACTCTGGGGCTTGCAGCTTTTTCTGAAGCTCCCTCAGATCTGATCTCTTGGCCTGCCCCTAGTTAGCTCATCTTGCCCTGGACGGCTAAGGTGACTGGGAGAGGAGACCCCCTCATTCCTTTACCAAGCTGGGGAAAGCCCAGTTGCAATTTTCTGGAAAGTTAACAAATACTCAGGGGGAAAAAAAATACAGAGATTCTAGACCAGCTGGGGCCAGGTGAGTCAGAGGCGCTCTCTGCTATCACACTCCTGGGTTTCGGGCCCCGGGGCTTGAGAGCTGTGCCTTGGGTGGGTCCCCGCCCAGCCTGTGAAAGGGGAGAAGCCCTGGCCCCTGGGCTTCCTCCCAGCCCTGCCTTCACTCTGAGTGATTAGATTTGTGCAGAGAGGAGTACAAATACCCCTGAGAGCAGAGTGGATGCTTCTGGACTTCTTCCATTGGGGTCATCTTACTGACTGGTTATTCATCTGAGTCCAGTGGGAGAGGGGAGGGGGGCTGGGGAACGGGATGTCTGGCTGTCTGTTAACTCCTTTGTTGCTAGCCTGTCCCTTACCTAGCTAATAGAGAGCTTCCAGGCCTGGTATGAGGCAGCCAGCCCCCCAGGGCGGGGCCCAGCCATTGTGCAGTGGGTCTGGTATTTCTGGCAGGGCTGTGTCTGGTCTCTAGTCAGCCTCTGAGGTGTGGGTGGGCCTGAGATCTGTCCTCTAGACTACCGATCTAGTCTAAAATGCCCGAGGAACTCTTGGACTGGCCTCCGCTTCTTCAGGGTCTCACATTCATCTGACATAGAATAGGCAGGTTATAAGAAAGACGAATTATTTGCAGAGAACAATTTCCCTATGCCAGGAGAAGAAGGTGACAGAGATAAATGACCAGAGCTGCTTTTAAGACTCTTAGTCGCTCGCTTTCCTTTCCAGGGGAGAGCCATTTCCAGAGTGTCTTCCTCTTAAGATGCAGGTGAATGAAAATGAGACAATTAGATGGCAGAGAGGACTTTCAGGCAAACAAGGATGTGGGAAAGATTTGGAAGGTGGTACAAAGCTCAAGCTGGCTGAGGGAGACAAGGTCCTCCTGGAATCTGTGGGGGTGGGTGTGTGATGAAGCCTGGCTTTCAAGTGCGAGGGAAAGGGGGGGGGGGGAGGGATGATCTGACCCCTGCCTCTGACCTTGACCCTGAGGACCCTGGCAGCCCTCCTCCCCAGCAGGTCCCATAGAAGCTAAGCTCCCAGCTTTCACAGATGACAGCTCACACTGAAATAACTTTTTCCGAGGACAGTTGGTGATCAATGGCTCAAATTAAACCTCAGAAAAGGTTTTTCTTTCCCCCTCCCTGACACTTTATAGGTTTCTCAGCTTATCTTCTCCCCAGATGGCTGTATAAGCCAGATGATGGCTATGTTAACACCCTAGAAAAAAGTGTGAATACACGGAAGATTTAAGGGGTGAGTGAGCCTTGGGATGGACCAAGGGTGGGAGACCAAGTTGGAGGGGTACCAGCTCCCAAAGCCCAGCCATCGTTCTTTCCTAGCCACCACCCAAGGCTCTCCACTCAACACCCCTTTCTTCTTTTTATTGCTCCAGCCTTCCTGGGTTAATAAGGACTCTTCCTGCACCCGTCTTCCCTGCCCAGCTCAGATGGTTTCAGCTTCTAAATCAGGTTATCTCTCCAGTCTGCATTCCCAGTAACTGAATTATCTTTGCGTGAGTACACAGGTCTGGGCAGAGGGGTGGGGCTGTCTGGGCTGGGGCCTGTCTTCCTGGCTGCTCCCAAAGCTAGGTCTTTGCAGCCTCCTAAAAGATGCCCAGGCCCCTCCGCTCCCTCCACTCCAGTACAGCCTTTCCAGTCCTGGGGGAGAGAGGGCCAAAAGGCCCTCAAGGATGCCGCCTACAGCCTGGCTGGGCGGAGAGCCAGCAGACCACAGAGTTCAGCTCTGTTCTTGGCAGGAAATAAACGGCCGGCATGGAAATGGCACCCAGGCCGGGATCAAGATCTGTGGAGTGGCATGCGTGAGGCGAAGGGGAGCAAAGGGCGATGCAGTCTCCCCCCTCAGCCTTCTCTGCCTCCTCCCACCAACCCCCGACCTGCAGTAGTCAGCAGCCTGGCATTATGGGCTGGGCGGGCCAGGGAAACCTGCTGTTTGCCAGCAACTGTCAATCTTCCATCAATTCCTGAAGCACCTTGGGAGGGGACAGCTCTGAAAAGGCTGTTTCCTAAGCCCAGGAGCTGGGAGTCGCAGGTTTCCGGTGAGACCTGAGGACCAGTCCTTTAACAAGCTGTCCAGGGAGGAGGTGAACCTGAGGAATGCAGATTTAGACAAGACGGCTTACAAGCTCATTAAAGTTCTTTTCTTTACAGACTGGAGTAGAGTCACAATACCTTGAAAACAGAACTTCTACAAATGTGGTCCTTGGACCAATCCACAAGCCTCCCAGTTCTGTTCAGTTCAGTCATTTATTCGTGTCTGACTCTTTGCAACCCCATGGTCTGCAGCATGCCAGGCCTCCCTGTCCATCACCAACTCCCAGAGTTTACTCAAGCTCATGTCCATTGAGTTGGTGATGCCATCCAACCATCTCATCCTCTGTCATCCCCTTCTCCTCCTGCTTTCAATCTTTCCCAGCATCAGGGTCTTTTCAAATGTGTCAGTTTTTCACATCAGGTAGCCAAAGTATTGGAGTTTCAGCTTCAGCATCAGTCCTTCCAAAGAATATTCAGGACTGATTTCCTTTAGGATGGACTGGTTGGATCTCCTTGTAGTCCAAGGGACTCTCAAGAGTCTTCTCCAACGCCACAGTTCAAAAGCATCAATTCTTCAGCACTTAGCTTTCTTTATAATCCAACTCTCACATCCATACATGACTACTGGAAAAATCATAGCCTTGACTAGACAGACCTTTGTTGGCAAAGTAATGTCTCTGCTTTTTAAGCATCCCAAGGCACCCACTAATATCACTGGTGATGTTTGCTGCAATGCAGATTATTGGTTCCTAATATGGATTCTCTACATGTGGGGCCTCCCTGGAACATGCATTTATAATAAACACTGCGTGTGCTGAGTTGCTCACTTGTGTCTGACTCTTTGTGACCTCATGGGCTGTAGCCCGCCAGACTCCTCTGTCCATGGGATTCTCCAGGCAAGAATACTGGAGTGGGTTGCCATTCTTTTCTGAAGGGATCGTCCTGACTCAGGGATTGAACCCCTATCTCCTGCATTGCAGGAGGATTCTTTACCATCTGAGCCACCAGGAAAGCCTTTATAATAAACACCCCAATGATAGTAATAATAGTCTAGGTTCATATAGCACTTACTCTGTATCAAGTTCTTTAAGATTAAAGAATAGTAACATTTAATCTACACAACAGTCTGTGAGGTAAGTTGTATTACTATTTCATTTAGCAGACAATGAAACTGAGGTTCAGACAGGTTATTGAACCAACCAAGGACATATAATTACTTAGTGACTGATCCGGGATTCAGCCCTGTGTTGGCAGCTGCTAAAGCTGGGCTCTAACCATCAGATCGCACAGCCCAGCCATCTCACATGAAGGTTGAAGCTGGAAACCCCACCAGTCAGTCATAGTGCAAGTTTCTGACCAGCTCTGTAGTGAAGGGAGGAACTTTAACGAGAGCTGGTGCCTTGGTCACTGAGGGTACAGACCAGGGAGGGTCTGGGAAGAGTCAGGAGGCCAGGGTGTTACCAGGCCGGGTAAGTTTAGTCAAGATTCTTCTCCCCACTGAGGCCTTGGTTCCAACCATCTGTCGAGAGGGCCCCTGAGCTGGATGACTTCTTGATACCTTCCTGGTTCTGACGTTTGAAAAACATGTGCACTTCCCTTTTCTGAGCAGCTGGGGCAGTTTCCTGAAAGTGTGTGTTGCGTGTGTGTCCCCAGCACAACAATGGCTGGGCACTCATGTTCGGCTGCCATGAGTCTGAGGACATTCCAGGCCAGGGCAGATGTGTGGTGACTTATCAGGGCGGAATGTGCCCTGCCGTTGGGCTGTTTCTATCTTGACTCTTCTGTTTTGTCCTGAAACAGTGCCCTTGGGGTCACCTGAGAGAACAAGAGAAAGACAGGTTAAGAAAGCTGCTGGAGTCAAGTGGAAATAGCTTCAGTCAGGGAAGTGGATGCCTGGAAGTGAGCCCCACGTGCAGCTGATCGCAGTCTCCCTGCCGCTTCCAGGCCAGTCCCCTCGGGCCAGGCCCTGCTCTGCAGTCCAGCTCACGTCCACGAACAAGCCCAGGCCGCTGAGGACTCCCCGGGAAGGCTCCACCTGGGATGAACCAGCTCCTCATCGACCCTGCACTCCCCTGTAGACCCGGCTGTATGATAGCATACAGAACAGTGACCAACAGCGGGTCCCTCCTTGACACTACGGCTTGTTCTACAATCCTTTAGTCCGAAAGAGGAAGGCTGGCAGGGAGCCGGTCCAGGGGCCTGGCGACCACGCCACCCACACAGCTTTCAGTGGTGTCCTGGCGAACAGGAGCTGTAGCAAGAGGCTGTGGTGGGTGCGTGTGTCAGGACTGGGTGGGCGGCTCCTGGGGTTTGGTGCGAGGCCACTGGGTCTGCAGTCACCTCTGCAGCAGACCACCCTCTAGTCCCAACTCCTGCCTGGAAGCACAGAGCAGCCCACCCTCCCGAGCTCCATGGGGGTCCCTGCGGGGCTCGGGCTCTCTCTCCCGATGCTCTGCATGATTCCAGGACATGTTCAACGGGAGCAGGGCTAAGGGTAGAGCAAGCGCTCCAGCGCAGTTAGGGGCCGGGCTTTGGCCAAGCAACCGCTTGACAGGGTTGAAGAACTCCTTTTGAGACAGCATTTTGTGTGAGTTTGGGCTGCCACAGCAAAGCACCAAAGACTGGGTAGCTTATCAACAATGGAAATGTGTTTCCCCCAGTTTGGGGGTCTGGGATCAGGGTGCCAGCTTGGCTGGGTTCTGGTGAGAGTTCTATACTGGATTCTTTGCAACATCTTCTCCGTGTGGCCTTACATGGTGGAAAGACGGTAAGAGAGCTCTCTGGGGTCCTTTTTATTAGGGTGCTAATTCTTTTTTCAAATTAATTAATTTATGTGACTGCACTAGGTCTTGGTTGCAGCATGCAGGATCTTGAGCTGCAGCATGTGGGATCTAGTTCTCTGACCAGGGATTGAACCGGGCCCCTGCACTGGGAGGGCAGAGTCTTAGCCACTGGACCACCACGAAAGCCCCTCTAATCCTTTTTCTGCGGTCTGTACCCTCATGAGCTAACCACCTCCCAGGTCCTCACTTCCTTATATCATCATGTACATACGTACTCAGTCATTTCAGTCATGTCTGACTCTTTGTGACCCCATGGACTACAGCACACCAGGCTTTTCTGCTAATGGGAGTCTCCAGGCAAGGATACTGGAGTGGGTTGCCATGCCCTTCTCCAGACAATCTTCCTGACCCAGGGATTTGAACCTGAGTCTCCTGTATAGCCTGCATTGCAAAGCAGATTTTTCACCACTGAGCCACCAGGGAAACTGTATCATCACATAGGGGTTGAGTTTCAACATTTGAATTTCAGGGTGTGACACCGCTTTCAGTCTTTGCACATCTCTTGAGGGGCAAGGAGAGACAACTAGCCCTGAGTGGTCATCGGTGTGATTGATACTCACCATGGAGCAAGGCCACGGGCTTGGACGGCATCCGAGGCAAAAAAGAACTCAGTGAGCTGAGAGGGTGGCCTTCCAGGGAACCAGCGCAGGTTCCTGCTGACAGGGCAGCAGTTGGCCTGCTGGTCTCTAGAGCATTCAGTCTTGGAGGCAGCCTCTCCATCTGCATCACTTCACTCAGGACCAGGGCTCAGCGATGAGATGCCTCCTCAGATTCCAAGCCTGTTGGTTGCTTCAGAGGAAGGGGCGGGGCCCCAAAGGGAGCTCACCTCTACACTGGAGACAGGTCTGTGCGCAGGGCTCCTGGTGCTCAGGCAGTTCAACAATTCTGCCTCCATGGAGCTCTTCTTGACTCCCCTGGTCCGTCCTGAGTGGTCCTTCCCTGACTCTCGGCTCTGGCTCACGCTCCCTCAGTACATGTGATAGCTGCAAGTCAGTCTTTAAAACACCAAATCTACATCTTTACTTATTTATGGCCATGTCACGTCTTAGTTGTGGAATCTTTAATTGCAGCAGGCAGGCTCTTCTCTAGTTCCAACTTGCAGACTTAGTTGCCCTGGGCATGTGGCCTCTTAGTTCCCTGACCAGAGAGAACCCCAGCATTGAAAGCCAGATTTTTAACCGCTTTTTAACCAGGGAAGTCCCTTGCAGGTTAGTCTCCTGGGCCCTCTCCAGGAAGAGTCCTGCATTATTCACTGCTATTCACCATCATGTCATGTTCCCAGCCTGGGGCTCATGGCGTGGTTCAGCTTCAGAGCTCTGTTAGAGGTTGTGGAGAGGATGGTGGGCAGGTCACCAGGAGCTCTCCACTTAGACCCGCCTCCCGGAAGGCCCTTTCTTGGCCATTCACCCCTTCTCCTAGGCCCTGTAGGAAGGAAGGGGCTGTCTGGAGCTCAGAGAACCGCTCCTTTGGAAGGAAGAAGAGGATGTCTCACACGCAGACGTTCTGGGGGGCACTTGGGGCCGACAGCTGCCTGGCTGACTCATGAGAACCGCACTGGAGCTGGGTGACGCTCCGTGCTGCGCTCCACCCAGGACTGGAAAGCCAATCGTGTGCTCTCTCTCTAGGCCTCCGGATGGAGCCCCATCAGCGTTCCCCCAGCAAGCCTACCCAGGCAGAGATGGAGACGTTATTTGGCAACAGAGGTGTCCTCGCCATGAGTCAGGTAGAGAGACAGCCTGCTTCCCAAGGAGAGAGTGGAACTTTGTAGGCACACAAGGGTAAATATTGAGTGTGGGGTGCTGCTAATTAGCGGCACCAAGGCCATTAGCATTAATGAGATCTGTCTCTGAGGCCGATCTCCTTGCACTGAGCAGGCGGCATCACTTCTCTGAGCCAGGCTCTCTGGCTCCACGCTCTGTGGCTGCTGTGAGTCTGTGTGATGCTTTCCTCTTGAAAATAAGATAGCTGGAATCACAAAGATGCCCCTTCTCTCTCAGTCTCTCCTTGGAACAAGAGCAGAAGCTTCAGGTTAAAGATATACTTAAAAGATGGAACATGTTTCCCATTTGCAGCTGTAGTCATATTCCCTCCTCCGGACTTTAGAATACACAGGCTGGAGGAGAGGAAAAGAGTTAAAAGGAGGAATGATCATTACAAGGGTGTTTTTTTGTTTTGTTTTTTTGAGCACTTAGTATATATCATGGAGAAGGAAATGGCAACCCACTCCAGTATTCTTGCCTGGAAGAGCCCATGGACAGAAAGCCTTAGTGGGCTACAGTCCATGGGGGTCAGACATAACTTAATGACTGAGTACGCGG